TGGGGTATTGTATTTACGAGGTAGATTGTCCCTTCTGATGGAGATTTCCTGCTTCTGTTGTAGATAAGTATCGATCGACTCGAAGATCAGACTATGTTATTTCGAATAACGGATTGATCGCACCCGTCGCTTCATTCACACGTGAGTATGGTATCAATCAGTATATAGGGGGGGATCTGATTCTATTTTTAAGAATAAGTTTCCGTTGTATTAGGTCATCACATAAGTTCGTGCCGAATTTATACCAAAATTTAAATCAATATTTCAAATATACCTTTAAATTCTATGAACAAATTTTTTTGGAAGAGTCAGAATGTCGTTGCTATAAAATTTTGTTGCTTTTACATTAAAATATTTTTCACTTGTGGGGTGACCTAACATATTCTTTGGAGATAGTATTTAGGTATAAACACATTTTTCGTTACACAAAAGATTTTCAGAATTTCTTAGCGTCTTGTCATACGTAGTTTCATAGTACGTTTCGTTTTTGTGCAAGTTTTTAGATGAAAAATAAAGTTGATATTTTATTTTCAAATAATTTTTTATTAGTCTGTTAGCTAACGGTACAAATGTATTTGTATTCAACAGTGAACAATAACCAACCTCACTTACCTCTTCCATTAAACGAATGAAAACTATGACTTTAACATCGCAAAGCTCTCTTCGTAATCAATGATACATCATAAAATATCATTTGGTTCACTGTTACTTCCACTGTAATTCAAAATTCTGTTCGTAATCCACACCTTCTGACGTAGAACTTAGAATTTCAATTTTAATAGCAGAAAACTGAATAGAATGAAATTGACGCATATTCTTCACAATCAAGGATATGCAATAATTTCATTCTATCCAGCTTTCTCTTATCGTAATTAAGAATACATTTTACTTAACAACTTTTTGTCCCATATATGAATCATTGAAAGATTCTTCTCAAACATAAACTGTCAAATTTTCCACAAAAAAATTCGTTGTTTCTAACCCCTAAAATTCTGACTTCAATACTATAAACTACTCTCCACAGAAAACACATCACACGACCAAACCTTCTCCTTTCAAAGAATCATATCGAAATCAAATTCAATTTCATCCTTATAAGAAAACAGAAAACACTTTATACTCTATCCACTTTTCCATCACCAACTCCGACAAAAAAACCCTACCAGTTCCATAAATTTCTCCATACCAACCCAGACGACGCACCGTATAAATTTCATTCCAGCCACTTTTTCCCTTTGCACAATTAAAAATTCATTTGGAACGCCCTCGAGGCAGGCGGTCAGGGAAACCAGCCTTCACCCTAAAACTACTACCTCACATTCGGATCGCAGGTCGGACATGAAAAATCTTGGTTCGCGTTGGACGGTCCCCGACATAGCACGCACTGCCGCAGCGCGTTCGTCATTTCTCGTCGCCATTTCGTCGGAACGAGATTCAGGTAGAAGCAGCAGCAGCAGCATCATCATCAACGATAGCAGCAGCAGCAGCGGCAGCAGCAGCAGCAACGGCGGCGGCAGTATTAGAATTAAAGTCAGAAGAAGCAACGTTAGAAGTAGCGGTAGTGGAAGAATCAGTAACGAAAGTATCAGAGGTAAAGGCGTCACGGCGATCGACAAGAATAAGAGGGAAAGAAAGAGCATCGGTAGATCGGCAGTCGACGTGCTGCACGAGTCGAATTTATCCGTCCGATCGTACGTAACGGCGTCGTCAAATCGGTTCGACGGCACGACGCGCCCCGAATCGACGCCCAGGTACCGGCCTCTAGCCGGCAAGTCGCGCGGTTCCCAGCAACGGTCTCGTCCTCGTCAGCCGCAGCCGCAGCCACCGCAGCAGCCACTCTATTATCCCCCCGCATCGTGGGACACGCGCACATTACACTTCAGGAACTGTTAGCACCGATCAAAAGTGAGTATCTCATATGGGATTCTTTTAACCCTTTCAGCGTTAAGATGTACGATCACTGCACATGCAACGAAACTTTAATACTGAAAACAACTGTCCTTAAATAAGAAAGAATATAGACTGATGTTATCAGTAATTGATATCAAAGAAATAATTGTATTTGTTAACAAAGACGCAAGAGAGACGTACATATGGGTTCAAATTGAATGATTGCACGTGGTCATATAAATAGGTTCATAATGGTGGACAATGTTTCGAAACTCATAGATGGGTTCCTAGCGCTAAAAGGGTTAACATAACTCGTACCAAAGGTACACTATCAAATGTTCGTAAAATGTCATAAACTAATTTAAAGTGGACAAATTTGAACGTCGAAGTCGTAGAGTTGGAATATTATCAAGGAGCGTAAATAGCGTTAGGTACCATCAAAAATTGATTACCTGCAGCTGAAGGAAAGCTGTGTATTTTTATAACAGTAAAATCGTACAAAAAATATAAAGATATGGTGAAATATTAGGCCCTACAATTTGTATTCAACTGTAAAATACAAATGCAGAAAGTGTACCTAAACTTTTGGTCGGTAGTATACGTAGAGAGACAGGTTAGTCCCCATTTAACGAAGAGAATTAACGCACAGGGTGGTATGTTATTTGTTTATACTTTATATTTCCCGTATAATTTATTTCTTTTCTTTTCGTTCCCTCCGTTTGTTGCAGATTTACGTCTCTATAACTGTCTCTTTTTTTCCCCCCAGCGGAAAGATAGTGGCATAGTGGTGGGGAGATTCAAAGGTATGGTGGGAGGAGTGAATTGATGTCCTCCAGTTACTGAAATCTTTGGCCACGGCTATAGGAATTTAGAGCACTATAGTGCACGTGTGGTGGAGATGAAAATGGGACAGCGTGATAGCAGCCAAGAGTAATCGTGCGTTAATGGTATAGAGCGCCATGGTGCATAGTGTGTCTGTATGTTTCAAAGTGACACACAGTAGGAAATTGGGGGAAACGTTTCATTCAGAATGGAAAATATAGTTCGTATTTTTTCTGTGTTATTACGTGAAGTGTCGTTCGAAGAAAAAATCAGTTTACTTTCTTTACCGTTTTCCATTATCGAACATGATTTTGAGGACATTGAATCAGCCTGAAAGTTGAGTGTTCGATAAATCTCATGCATACTTAATGCGCTTTCTATTTCTACTTACGAGCGTTCTCAGGAACTAGATATTAGTGTGTCTATTTACGGAGGGCTTTGTTCATTTAAAGCGATCGTTAGGTGTCGTATGAGTTAACGAGAACTGATGGACGAGTCAAAGAGAATTAATTTTTCAGGAATCTTTTCCTGTTTTTTGTCAAATTTATATCCCCTTTAGGTGGTTAATCTTGATCATTTGCATGTCCAAAGGTACTAGAGAATGTAATTGAAATAATGCCGAAAAATTCTAATATTTTATTGTATTAAAAAATTACGAATTACTTTTGTATAGTTGAAATGAACTATTCTTTGGTTGAATACAGATCAACACATTTCATATTTCCTTTCGTCCATTCTAATTCTCGAATAACAAGAGGATTCATCAGATTCAACTAGTGTCTACTCTACTTCCTTCGTTCACTTCGTGAATTAAGCGTGGCCTTATCTTTGCATTGTTCATGGCTTTTCAATAACACAATGTTTAATAATTAAGTTGGAAATAATCCTACGCCGATGCTCCTCGTTTCGATGCAATAAAACTCGTGTTGGCGGTCCTCCAATTTTTCGAGTGCAGCAGAGAAATCGGGATGTCGCGACAAATCCCTGGATCGAAGAGAATTAAAGCTGTCTGTTGTATATTGATGCTTTAATCCATCTTGCATAATGTTCATGCCATAAAATCTATTATTACCAGATGATTTTTTATACTTCTTGAAATTAATTCAACTCAAAGAATTTCCAACGAAATTATTTTTGGGAATTTTAAGATATAATTCATGATTTTTAATTGAAAATAGTTTTTCAATCGAGTGAGAATTTACAATCTGAAGATTTTAATCGGGAATGGATACAAAGGTTTCCAGTTAGTATCTCATTGTTTTTCAATCGAACGAGAATTTATAATTTGCAGATTTTAACGAAGAATGGAGATTCAGGATGAACGTAGAAAGGTTTTAAGTACTTTGGGTTACTGTGAAGTATACGTAAGCACGCTTTCCCACAATCCTTCGTGTTTCGGATAACCTAACACGAAATTTCTCGATATCGCTAAGTGGTCCGAGACATAGACTCGAAGAAAAGGGCCTCGAAGTGTGTCATCCCATTATAGAAATAAGTTCAGCCTACAATTTCGTTGGACTCAAGTATAGCTTTAGCTTCACGGATATCCGTCCACTTTAGGCAGGAAATATCTAAAAACGTTTTCCACTATTGGTTTGTCCACTCATTTTTTAATTTCTTACTTATCGATTCGTAGTTGCGGCTACCCTGCTCAATTTTCAGTTCTTTAAGGATTATTACGAATGACAACAATTTTAAGCGTTTCTGTAATTAAATTTCAAAGTTTTTAAAGCTCATACATCAACGAATGTGAGCACTTTTCACAAAAATATATCGACTTCCCACTTTTTACACAGATAGAAATAAAAATCACGTAAGGCACAATTTTCAATTTTTAAGGCACATTTTCCGTATATCATGACATTACAAGCAAAGAATATTAATTTTAACTCTCAATAAAAAATGATCCTATAAATCATCTTTATTATTATATTTTTCTACATATTGCAATATTCAACATTGAACTATTGAAAACAAGAATATATTACACAACATCGAGTTACCATTGTTACACGTTTCGTGCCACAGTTTTCGAAAATGGAATTTTCATTAAACGAAAAAAGTTATTCTTCCACTTAATTCTCACGCAAAATATGTGCAAAGGAAAATTAGTGTGTCAAGAATTGAGCTTATATCGATATTTTTCTGCAATTGAATACTTGTAATTTTCTCGTGGCACGTTACGCGTTAAAAAAAAAAAAAAAAAAAGAAGTGTAACAATTACAAAAAATCAAGGAAGAACGATTCTCCTGTTCAGGAAGGTGGCTCAGCTGTGTGCAGCTTAGACAATGTCCGAAGTTTCTGACTCTGTATCAGAGGAAGAAAGAAGTTTGTTCCGTCCGTTCACGCGGGAGTCCCTGGCAGCGATCGAGGCTCGCATCGCCGAGGAACATGCCAAGCAGAAGGAGCTCGAGAAGAAGAGAGCGGAAAGCGAGGTAGGAACGCGGCCGTGTTTCCTTCAACTTAACTTATATGTATACATATAATAGAATCGCGAGCATCGATTCGAAAGGACCGTTGCCTGCGAGCCACTAGGATTCGTATTATTTCTGTTTAAAATTTTCACTTTCAATTACGAAACGATCTATGCCATTACTTAATTCTTTTTATTTTATCTCCACTTCGTTTTGTTTACGATTTAATCGACGAACGATTTCCACGTGTTTCCATTTAACGTTTTTCTTTGCGAGTGTTCCATTCGTCTGAAAGATGATTCATTAACTCTTCCACTTACAAGGAAATACCTCGAAGTGATAATGACTTTAATGGAATGTTGATATGTGTGAAACAATATTCGACGCGTATTTTTTTACAGGTCCATATTAAAGGAGTGGATTTACAAATTTCGTCAATCTACACCATCCCTCTACAGGGCTCGAAATATTGGACTAAATATGTTTACTACCTCCGACTTTGAGGGCGATTTTCACTCCATCAATATGGACGATTACCGATAAAAGAAATACGTGTCGAATATTCTTTCGAGATCTACCACATATCAAAATTTCATCCAAATCGATGATTATCACTTTCGGGTGTTACTTTGTTAAACTCTTTTTCAAATGTATGATTCACTCGAGTGATTTCATCGTTCAGTAGAAACATACATTCTAAAACTCCAGCTACCTTACATTTCGTGGAAATGTCGTGCCGCACACGACTTTGAGCCACAGTACCAGGAGGAGTTAATACGATTCAGAGAAGCAGAATATGAGCAACTCTGGTAGAAAGTAGATTTGTATGTTTGAACGCAATGTGGAACACGTTCAACGTCGATTATTCGCACACTCGATCTTTTAGCATCCATTCAAATCTCCCATGATACCACATGTCCCTTTAACGCGTTATCCGCGTACGTTATTATTGCCAAGAATAACAGCGGCCATTGACACTGTAACATGAACGAAAATCTCGACAGTCCGTCGTACTGTGAAAAACACGATTAAGAATGAACGCGTTCTGTTCGGTGATGTTCGCGTTTCCAGTTAGACGAGTTCCAAGAAGACACCCACGATCGTTCTAACGTGCCTATTAACATCGATACACAGGTTGTTCTACTTTGCAGATCTCTATAGTGAGACATCGGACGTATACAAGCGTCGCTGTTAAGTGCGTTACTAATGGTTCTTTTTCAAACCAGTAATCACTGTTGTGCTTAAGAACCGATTAATATTTCAAAGGGTCGAAAGTTTTACCTTCATTTTCGTCGTCGTCAGAGTTGTTTTCAATCGCTTGTGGAAATTTTGTTAAAAATGGTGAAAAATTAGTCGGTCTCTAAGTGTGATCTACTTAATCACGGTGTTGTCCGTGACGCTCGATGGACATTTTACCAAATAAATGTTGGATACACGTTTTTTATTTCTATTTTTTTCTCTCTCTCTCCTGGTCGTACTCCTTTTTGCGTAGCTGCAGTGCCGTTTTTTGCGAGATCTGTTTCTTCATGTTCACGATACCATATATATATATATACATATATTATACCTGCCTATCTGTTTTTATGTATATATATATACATATGATTATACGTCAAGCTGCGGTGTTTCTACCTACCCTCTTGTAAACAACCGATTGTCGCTACCCGTCGCGTTGATTGTTTGCTTGACTTACTGCTGAACGTAGTGAAAATACATGCCTCTATTCCCTCTATCGATGACTTTTGTCTACATCTGTCTCCCTCTGTCTATATATAAGTATATATGTATACATGCATACATATATACAACACGACTGTCGTCGAGTAATGTATTGTTTCTGTGTTACCAAAGATATGTTCGCGTACGAGCTCGATGTCTGCAGTGTCACTATCTGTGCCTGTTTCTATACGTACATAAATATCGCTGTGTCGTAGTTCTCTCTCTCCCTCTGTATTGCTCTTCGTTGTATTATAGACTCCCCGAATCCCCCTTTAATCGTACTCTCACTAGTAGCCCACGTGTGTGCATAGGTAGTACACATTAATTGTGCTCGGTGTTTCCCCGAGTTTGTTACGGGAGAATCTTTTCACAAACGTACCTCGATGATGTCGGTGTTAACTTTCCTTTTTTCTCTACAGTCATTTTATCCGTACAAGAAACTTTGATATTAGCATGTTAACTTTTCGATCTATTTAAGGAGTGTAATTGCATTTTTCTTTGATTTTAATTTTCTTTCTAAATTTTAAATATCAATACGTATTAAACAGATTTAAACTAGTGTAGATTTTTGTTGTTAATTTTGTTCTTATTGATCTATAGAAGTTGCATTAAAAAAAGAGTGTTAACGTAATTCAGGTATAAAAAGTTACAGGGAGATGTCTTTATTTCTAGTCGTGTCGGTTCTAACCACGTCTGACTATAGACGGACCGCTTTCCCGTGCATTGTTTCACGTTGACTCTCCGCCGCGCTCTAGTAGTATGGGTCAATAATATCTGCCTGTATCTTGCCTAACGTTTTACACGTATGATATCTTTGGAAAGATGTACAATTTTTCTCGATACTTTCCTCAGCAATCTTCAACTTTATCACTGTCTACCGTATTATCATGTAGTTTTCCGTTTTTGTTAATTTTTGCTTGAAAAAGGTTTGAGAAAAGTCTTTCGAACAAAATCAGTGAAACACCTATATTAATCTACATTAAGACTCAATGTTTATTAGCATCGTAGTAACTTTATCAAAATTAGAATATTAATATCGTAATAATTTTATAATTATAATGTTAAAGGAAAACATAATTTAATGCTCTTTTAAAGAAACAATTTGCCCATTCGTTTATAAATTTCACAAGATCTTAAAAAATTTGCTCTATTATTTCACGTTTGTCTAATTACATATCAGTCAATCACTCTGATTATAATTAACCCTGTAAACTTTCCCTGTGAATAAGATATTTCTCACATTTCCCGTTTGAGACCTAGTTACAAATTCGAATAGTCCCGGTTAATTAGCAGAATCTCTTTTCACTTCGAGATGGTATCAATTGGTACGCTTCGATCTCTATATCCTCCTTTCTCCTCTAGCTTGCCTGATCCCGCGATCCTCTCGCTTGAACATCTTCTGTAACGTATATACAATATATATCTGTACTACATATATATGTATATAGGTGCATATACATATATCTACCTTCCCTAAATATGTATGTAATTTCTGTTTCGTAACCCTCAGTATTTTCTCTATCCACCTATCTGTCTGTTTTCTATCTTTCTCTATCCTCCATTCTCCTCCAAGACACTATTTCTCGATCTCTTCTAGCTTTTCATATCGATCCCAAGTCCTTGTCTCACTACACATCACCTGTATAGTTAACTATTGTTCCCACTGTTAGTGAAAATCTGTTTAATTCTGTGTGCTCCCCTCCCTATCTAACCCCATTGTTCATTCTATCTCTCCACACCTGTATTCTGTGTTTTTTCTCTGTGTGTAACGACTGTTTCTCCGTTTCTCCAATTTCAGGGAGGTTTTGGACGGAAGAAAAAGAAAAAAGAAGTAAGACGTTACGTCACGCTAAGTAATAACCACACACACATACATACACTCGCTCACTCACACACTCGTACACACACATGCACCAATACACTTTCTTTCTCTTATCTCTGCCTCTGTCATCCAAACTTTCAAACCTTCTGATTATGATTACGATTATTTTTATACGTACACATGGACACACACGTGCATTAGAATACACGTATACCAAAAAGAGACACTGTCAATGCGATGTCCATTTCTGCATTCATGCAAATCGATCGATCGATCGGTCGCACACACGTTTCCGTCACTCACTTGCTCGGTGATGCGCAACGTCCACCAAACGAGACACCTAATTTTCACGAGCGCCACGGTGTACATCGATCCCCGTTTCTCGTCTCGTTTCTGCGTGTCAATACTTCACGTGATTATTAATTACGGCAAGACGACGTGTCGTTCACTGACGAGTTTAATCATTGCGAAACAGTCCCGTGCTGTCTTTTATTTTGTGTGCGTGATTTTTCTCCCTCTCGTTGTTTTCAGTTGTTCCTGTTCTTGTATCGACTCGATTTTCTGTTCGAGGAGAATTGTAGCCTTTTCTGGAAATATTGTCGACTTTGTTTGTTTTTTTGTTTGTGCTGGTACGTGTCCGACATTGTGATACGGTGAATGTAATTGTGGCGTACAATTAAGTAGCTAGATAAAACAAAATTGATTGTAACTTTTGAATCTGATCTTGAATATTAATTCCAGTTGTGCAACTCCGAAGCAGGAGATTTCAATTTTTCTTCTGTTTAAATAGTATAATTTGTGTCAATTTTAATCTTTGTATATCTTTGAATAATTGTCATATAATCTTAACTTCTTCTAACTTCACTTCTGTGAAAATTCTGTTATTGAAATTCGTTCAACTTCAGGTGTCTAAGCTACTCAACAATTCATTTAATAATTGTAATCTATTGTTATCAGAAATAAACAGTATTGCCTTCACCGCAACATCCGTACACGTGCACGCCTCTTTCTAGCCGAAACTGTACCCACTTGTGAACCTGTGACCGCTTATTGCGTTGTTGTACGCGTAAAAACCGTTGTTGTTCTTGTTCCTGTTATTCTAACCATGCTACGAAATTCCATCGATCGATCGGAAGTAAATCTGTATCGAGGATACATCGTGGTCACATAAACACACATGTACATATATTCACACTTTACATCTACGAACGTAAGTTGTATCACGCTATACATGCAATCAAGAAACAACGCGCTTGTTGTATTCTGCTATAATTATACATGCTGTTTCGCGAGTTGATCTTGCAACGTCGTGCAACAAAAGCGAAACGAGCCTTGCCTGTGTGCTTCGATTCTGCGACAACTTTCTCGAAATTACTCGAATTTGCGTGATATATTAGAATTGAGAAAATGATCGAAATGATTGATTATAAAAGAGACACGTATGTATACACGAAACAGAAAAGAAATGACAGTTTCGTTT